CCGAGAGGATCCCTCTCAGCCGGTGAGAGTGTAACTTCTCAACGACCGAGAAGGTTTCTCTCGGTCGCCGAGACTGTAACCTCTCCACGGCCGGGAGGGTTTCTCTCCGCCGCCGAGAGTGTAACCTCTCCACAGCCGGGAGGAATCGTCCCGGCCGTTGAGAGTGCAGCCTGTCACGGCCGGGAGAAATTCTCCCGGCCGTTCCTTTTCTTTTTTTTTTTTTTCAGCGCCGACTCCAAACCCCCATGGGGTTTTGGAGTATCGACTCCCAAAAACCCCCGAGGGGGTTCGAAAAAAAAATAAAAATAAGTATTATTTTATTAGGGAGTCGACTCCCAAACCAATCAAAGGGTTTGGAGGTCCGACTCCCAAAAAACGGGGGAAAAAAAAAATTAGGGGGCCTGACGTCCGGAGGACCGTCCGCAGACAGTCCTCAGGACGTCCCCAAAATTTGGGAGTCGGAACTCCAAATTTTGGGAGTCGTTTGACTAAGTCCCAAAAAAAATTCTGGATTTTTTTTTGAATTTTCACCATTTCTAAAAGCAACGGTGGGCCGCTACACTAACCGTAGCGGTTAGAGCATCTCTAGCGGTCTGGGGGTGGATCGGCCTGCCTTTGGCGGCCTGGAGTCAAATGTCCCGAGCTGTCACCGATCTGTCACAGTTGTGCTAAATTCGGACTGTGAAGTTGAGCAGGGGTGGGTGAAACGCGGCCAAAGCTGCTAAACTCAGCAGCCAAGGGCAGCTTTGGTCCACCCCTGCGAAGTTCAGCAGCTCGGTCGGCAGCTCCGCTCGCGGCCCGCTGAAGTCAGTCCCAGGTCCCGCATCAGCAGGACCATTAGAGATGCTCTTAGTGTAGAGTAACGCAGCGGAATCGCTGTTAGCAATTAGCGTAACATAGCGGAATTCCGCCACGACACCGCTAACGCTACGCTAGAGATGGTCGATGGATATCCGCTATCCACTGGCGGATACCCGCCAGGGCCAGGCCAGGGCCAGCGGGTGCGGATGCACCCTTCCTGTTGAGTTTTTGGCGAAAAGGCCGAATAAAAAAATACTTTTTGATTCTCGAAGAGAGGGCTAATGTGCTCGCATCAAAGACTGAAGAAGGGCTAATGTGCTCCTTCAGGACTGATCTAAAAAGAATAAAGAACCGATGGTTTTTTTCATTTTTAAGCTGCAGTCAATATGAGTTAAATATTCTAACTACAAGAGGTTCAAGTTGTGGGTCTAAGAACTCATGGCATAAAAAAGAAAAGACAATGGCCGTTGAATAAGATTGTGACAGGTGAGTGAAAGGAAAGAAGAGAGAGACGAGCGAAATTTCAACACTTCCCCCTGAAATACTGGCGGGTATCCGGGTATCCCTTGGGATACCCGGTGCCAAGAGGCCACACCGCCGGGAGGAATCCCTCCCGGTGAGCTGGTCTGGGAGGGGTTCCTCCCGGCGAGCTGGATTGTGTACCAGCTCGCCGGAAGGAATCCCTTCCGACGAGCTGGTTAAAGAGCGTCTACAGGTCAGCTCGCTGGGAGGAACCCCTCCCGACGAGCTGGTACACAGACCAGCTTGTCGGGAGGAGCCCCTCCCAACAAGCTGGTTTAAAAACCAGCTTGCCGGGAGGGGGTCCTCCTAGCGAGCTGGCTTGTAGACGCTTGCTGGGAGGAACCGCTCCCAGCGAGCTGGCCTGTAGACGCTCGCCGGGAGGGGTTCCTCCCGACAGTGTGGCCTCTACCCCTTTAGGCCAAGGGGCCGGTTTTTTTTTTTTTTTTTTTTTTTTTTTTTTTTTTAAAAAACAATGTCCTGGAAGAGCCGGCTGCCTTGCCGCCCATTCAGAGGGTGGGTATCCGCGGGTATCCGCGCAGATACCCGCCAACGCTGGCGGGTATCCGCCGGCGGATGCGGATGTGGGTTTCCGCTGAAAACGTGAGCGGATATCCAGATTTAATGCGACCATCTCTACGCTACTTGCGGCCCACTACCCTGCGCTACAGCGGTTTTTGGTCGCTTTTTCCGCTAAAAGCGCTGTAGCGTAGCAAAAAACCGCTAAAAAACCGCTAACACTATGGTTTTTGGATGAAAAAAGTGCCGCTGCTAAAAGTTTGATTTCCTTCTTGGGGCTGCATAATGACTTTTTCCCCCCTGTTTTCTTATCAATTTATGGAAATTTGCTACTGTTTGAACATGAGGATGTTATCAGAAGAAATCACAAAAAAAATCATGGAATTGCTGTAAGATCTCAATTTGGGAGTGAGAAAATCAACTCCCACAATCATTGACAGATATCTGTTGGGAGGCATGTTTCTAATTTGGGAGCCAGTTTTGGGAGTTGTCTGGCCTTTTTTATTTTTTGGGAGTCAGCTCCCCAAACCAGCCCTTACACATGGGGGGGGGGGTCATTCCCACTTGACCAGAAGGAATTCCTCCTGGTCAATAAGGGGCCAAGACATCATTGACCAGAGGGATTGTTGTCAGCCTTAGAGATAC